GCCCTGAGCACAAGGGGTGGGGGCTCATGCTGCCAGCAGTGATTGTAAATACAGAAACTTGTGTATCAGCAACTGAAAGGAGAACTACCAGCTTAGTTCACATTGGATACCTCACACCATACAGTTATCAGAGAGTAAGAGCTTTCAGTTTCTTCCTCCACTGACTTATTCTGAACATGAACAAGTGACCAAAAATGATCCTAGCTATTTAGGGCCTGTGGTTCACTATTCAAAATTGTTTAATCTTTTCGCCTTTCCAATTTACATAGGATCAAGGAACACTGAAATGAGTCAACTGTTTGAATAGAAATAATGAAAGAATAGAAGTAGTATGTAGAAGGGATCATATTTACATTCATGGACTCCTCACATTCACCATCTAGGCAAAAAGAAGAACTAGTCCATTTCTTGCATTACTTTATGAATCCTGCTTCATTATGTAATGTTTAGCTGCTTGCCAAATTTCAAGATTACTGCTGTCCCCTAGGACACAAATCATTCTTCTGAAAGCAATGTAGAAAATTAAATTTGGGCTATTTCTACAACAAGGACAATGCATTTGAAATTAAACAATGCAACTATATTTAATCCATGTTGAGTGCGTGTGCAGACAGACAAGCAGCCAGAAAGAAAACTACTGGCAGAAAATAGCCAACAAACCATCACATTTAGTTAAAACTGGGCGGTTAACAAGAGGGATAATATGTATAATATAATGCATATTCACATGGATGCTGTGGATTTCTGTTCTCCTTGCAGAGTTGCAGGCAGCAACCTTCTTTGATACATACATGATTTTGGTAAGCTAGATACTATGCATCCTAAGAAGAGGCTGAATGGGCAGCACATGTCAGAAGGTGGCCTACTGATGAAGAATCCTCAATTCCCAGGGAAGCAAAGGGGCTCGCACCACCTCAGAGTTCAAGACACTTATCTTGGCCAATCATTTTGTTAATCTAAAATGATGGAGATACCATAGCTAATAATCACTCTGAAAACAGTTAGACTAAAATTGTTACTAGACAAGTCCAGAGGTCTGTGCTTAGTTTTCACTAGGTTTTGACTCATTCTTTACTCTGGTGTGTTGCCAAGAATTTGCCTGAGTAAGGCAAATACTTGAATACTGAGCTTTGCACTGAGCTAACATGGTAACATCTGCAGCGCCAAACAGGAAATGCTTTTGGATAGAAGGCGGCAGCACGGGCCCCTCTTGTCTTCTGCACAGCAGCAAAACAAGACTACAACCCAGTGCTTCAGAAAGCTCTTGGCATTAGGATCAGCTTCTGCAATGGCTGCAAGACCACAGTCATCAAGGCCTACGAGCCTTTTGGGCATACAAACGAACAGTGAAGAAACAGGTCCAAAAAGGTTTGTGTTTTGTTGGTCCCTGGCCTCATCTCAGCCTAATGAAGGAAAAAAGGAACCCCACTTATAAGGCTATATAACAGAGCAAAGAACCACGGCTCAGCAACCACACTGAAACCATCATTCAGATGGAGGTAAAATACTGCAAATATTTTTGCAGTGAATGGCACAGCATATTAATAGATATCAGGCAAATACTTTCCTTGAGAGAGCTCACTGTTGTAATAACATTATAGCTTCTTTCACGATTTTTTATGCATAGCAAAAACAATGAACCTGTGACCTATGGTTTTTAAATGATTTCTGTATGTTTCCTTGCAAAGATAAATTCACAACTGAGAAAAATGGCACTGGGCAACAAGCTATAATTGCCTGCCATTTTGAACTTTAGCTTCTTCATGTTTCCCTTAAGAAAAAGCAGTCAAGTTTGGGGCATTTATGTAAAATTATTTTAGAAATAGATCCCACAAGGATAAAGCTATTTTCAAACATACTTGCTCAGTTCCTGGCCTATAAATATTAACAGTGCACAACAAAATGCAGATACGTGGATCTAGTAAAACACACGGAGAATAAATACGCCATTTAAAGATTTACAGACTTGTGATTTACATATTGTTTACCAAAAAAAGGAGGCAATGTTTTTATTCAAAAACTTCAAAGCATGCAGGGGAAGAAAAAAGGATTTGTTTTACGGTCTTCCTGGAACAATCCTGAATTTGTGATCTGGGGGGGTGCAAAATTTAACTGGCTTCTTGGGCAGTTAAAAATACCCATTTGTCAGGGACAGGGAATACCTTTTCCTGGAACTTAAGGCCTTATTTCGATATACAAGGTTATTTAATGAATGCAGTAATCACTTAGCATCTCTTGTAATTAAGAGCTTGGCCCAGCACAAGGACAGACTAAGCACAAGTCTAAGAGTGATGAATCAGAACGGGAGGGCTGAAGAACCCAATTCTGTATGAATGAGGGTGCTGCAGCCTGACTGCCGGGTTACTCCTCACAAGGAGTGAAGGGAACCCATGCTGATGGTCACTCTTGAGCCCAGGTCAACCAGGACACACTCATTCTTTGCCCATGTTCCACAGGATCCCTCATAGAGGCCCTGGAACCATCAGCTCCATGTGAAGCTTGGAACAGGTTACCCAGGGAGGCTGTGAAATATCCATCCTTGGAGGTTTTTAAGACCCAGCTAAACAAAGCCTTGGCTGAAATGATGTAGTTGGGGCTGGTCCTGCTTTGAGCAGAGAGTTGGACTAGATGTGACCTCCAGAAGTCCCTCCAAACCCTCATGTTCTACGATTCTAAGGACTCCCTATACCTAGTACTTAGCCTCACTTGAAACCCTGTCATCCCATTCATGCTTTCGTATGGTTCAAAAATCTTGCCTTCCCTGCTGCGCACTGTAGAAGGAACTGCAGAATCAAGGTTCAAGTACTTAACAAGTAACACAGACCCTGACAAATCAAGAAACAGGCAGTAAATTAAGTATGTCTTCTATACCTCTGATCTCAGATCTGTGCTCTGCGATTGAGACCCATCAGCAATATCGCTGGCCTGCTGGACAAGCAACTACTGATCAAGGAATCAAACTGATATTTTTTCTCACAGCAAGAGTTCAGCTATCCCTCATAGAAGAGGGCATCTACCTTAGTCTTCTTTCCATATCCAGTGGGACCAACATAAATGATGCCAGAAGTCAATCAAGAAGAAAAAGCTGAAACTGTAGTGTCTTGTCTATGCAGGAAATACCAACGTTAAACCTCATGCAGCTGGGATTTGCTACACACATCAGAAAGCTGTTCACCAGTGCTTTTTCACAACGGCCCTTTCTAAAGTCACACTTGTATACTTGGCTTGACTGGTTTAGAGCCAAGAGCAACATCCATTGTCCATCTTTTTACTTTCACATGCATGGAAAATATTCAGGGCACAAGTAGAGAGAATTTGTGCCAGATCTAAGCCAAAATGCACAATGTTTAACCCTAGGTAACAGAATCTTTAAAGCTGCTTTCATTTCTTCTATGCCCTCTGTAGCATCACTATAACTTAGACACCTGGTATACTTGCAACTCTTGAAAATGTAAGGACAAGAGGTTGTTGGAAAGAAATCAGCCTAGTATAGCTGTGGACCTTCAGTCCCTGGCTATTTTAATTCTGCCCTAGCAGTGAGGGTCTTTATCCTATCCATTTAAGGGGCATCAAAACCAAATTATCAGGCATCCTTGCAAGCTGCAGCAGCTGCAATCAGACATGCACAGGCGACAGTTTTTAAAGGTGAACTGAAAGACTTTCCATACTTGGCAAGACCTGAGTTCTGCATTTCCCTTGCAAGAGCTGATGACACCATTGATACCCAGAACGCAGCAAAGTGCTGGGGTGGCAGCAAAGGACCTTGATCCATGAAAAAACAACAGGGGCTGATGGCTGGACTCCTCAGCCCAGGCCGTCCATGTGACTGGACTGCAGGCGCTAAAAGGGACCGTGGAGAGGTGCAGCAGATGTGGCCTCCTGTTTTGCTCTGTTGAATTCAGGTAGTCCATGGACCCACACCACATTGTTGACCCAGCTGGTCACAGATAGTACTCCCCCTATCACCTGCTCTCTGGAGGTGCACTTTCACCACTAAGATCTTTGCAGCATGTGGATGTTTGGGCAGAGCAGTGTCTGCCTGTGTGGGGCTCCCACTGCATCCGCTCCCTTGAACAACTGAGGTGCAGCCTCTAAGACATTTTGAGATCTTCCTAAAGTACACAGAGTATCTCAGGATTTGATCAAGGTATTCCTTACACTGCTTTCCCATTGCCATCAACTTCTGTAGGAGAACCAGCATACTTGGTCTCAGGACTTCAGGTCTTTGCAGGTGAGCAAAGGCAGAACAGATTTTCGTCCATTTTTGTTTTTAAAAAAAAAATCATACCCTTATACATTTTAACCAAATTATATCAGATGAAATCCTGGGCTTGTTGAAATTAATGCAAAAACCAACTTCGACTTCAAAGGAATAGAATTTATTTAATCATTTGGGAGGTATGAAGGATTTTTGCATCTAGTTAAAATAAGGAAGCTTCTCAGTTCAGGTTTATACTCCACTTCATTAATAAATTGTATTCTAAATTCTCCTAAAATCATTTTTATCTAAATAAGACTAGAGTTGCTTTGAACTTCTTTTTGCTGGCCCTTGGAGGTGAAAACAACTGTTTACTATTTCTTTGACATTTCTCTGAGATTTGTCATTCTTACAAAATGTCAGCTTTTCAACAGAATGAAGATGCAGGTCTTATAGAGTCTGTATGTCCAGCAAACGAATACTGAAAGTTTTACTCTGTGAAAAGACTTTTTTGATACCAGAAGGCAATTAGCATGAATGCTTCAATCATACTTTATGTACAAAAACTGTATGGGAAGTGAATCGACTTGTTTCCTTGTGTACTTTCATTTTACCAGCATCATTATGCAGACAGTAAGTCAAGATCCCAGAATGTCAGCACTCCTAAAACCCAATCCAGAGTCCACTGAAGTCAACAGGCATCCTTCCATTGATTTCAATGGACTTGGAATCTGGCTTGTAGTAGTCCATTACCTTTTGAGCTTATAAGTGAAAAATCACTCCTACAACATATCAGGGTAATTTTTATATCATAACAGACTGTACACAAAAATAGGTGCTAATAAATACCTTTCTATTAATAAAGAGTCTGATCCTCCAGCCACATATTAATTACTGTTTATTACTATTTGACATGCATCCTGAAGTAGTGCCCAAAGCCTGGCCAGGGTCACAACTGAGCCGGATTCTGGACAAACACATAGTAAGTCATCTGCAAATTGCACAGAGTTCAATGGGAGTTCTGCCTGAGTAAAGACCGAAAAACCTGGCCCCAAGCATCATCACAAAGAATAAAGCATTGCTTCTGACTAAATAACCTAGGAAACTGAGGAAAGAAAAACACACCAGTGCTTCCTGCTGCATACCTCAGAAATCTCTCAGCCCTGAGGAACCTCAGAGAGCTGCATTTGTGTGCAAGACCTCGGAGTGCTGAATACAGCCAAATGCACCTTCAGTCAAAGGCATTTTAGCCACTTCTTTAAAAAAAGGATAGAAAAATAGCCTAAAGAAGGCATGCATCTATTTGATGTTGACCAAGGAACTGAACATATCCAATATATAGTTTTCAGCATTATTTAAAGTTCATGTAATCCTGTCTACCTGACTCATTAGAAATGTTACTGAATGATCTATTTTGTCATTAATATAATCCCATCAATGTTTGTAATTCAGTTCAGGCCATTATTTTTGGTTCTCCTCAGTCACTGTTTTACAAATACGGCTATGTTTCAGCAGCACAGCAACAGTCTGGAGGAAAAGGTAATTATTTTTAAAGGAAATACCAGTATTTTGTGTTCAGAAAAAGCACTCCCAGAGGTAAGCCAGCAATAACGTTGCTCTCAGCTCTTTGCACAGATCTAGTATTCACATCCCCAAATGGCAAGGTGTTTGCCACGTAAAATCATTTTCCCTGGGCATTGTCTGCTTCTTCAAACCACACAGTTTGCACATACCAGCGACAAATATACCTTTGCAGAAAGGTTGAGCTCTGCAATTACTTCACTGCATGAAGTAGGCAGCGAGGAAGATGCCTTCCCTGGCACACTATTGTTTACAGATGCAATCCACATTGCAAATGCGTTGCTACAGTTTCCTCTCAACAGAACCCAGTGCAAGCTCTGAGTTTTTAACCCCCCGTCCCTCCGAAGTTCCAATAAAAATACAAATCGGGCGAGTTTATGAAGCCACCACCCCCCTCCAATAGATCCAGGGATAAAGCAGAAAAGATCCAGGGTCAAGGAGGCTGAACCCGGGCAGAGAGACAAGGAAAATGGCCTGCTTTTTGGGCCTAAGCCATTTCCAAGGAATACTTCCCACTACAAAAAAAAGGAACAGTAGGAATCGCAATCAATCTGCAGTTTGCTATAAACAAAAAAAATCCCTTTGTGTCCCTCTTCCCTGTGCTACTTACGGTAGCTGTCTCAGCTGGAATAAATCATCCTCCATTGCCAGGCTGCGTTGGGTAGAGCTGCTCTCATTGCTCTTACATTGTGGTTAATGGAGAGCAGCTGGGATCTCAGGAGCTGGCTGCTGGACAGCTCCCTCCGCTATAGCACCAGCCACCGCTGCTGCCACCGCCACCGAAACAAAGCAGCAAGGGGGAGGGGAGAGGAGGAGGAGAAGACCTGGAGAGAAAAGCAAGAGCTGCTGACTGGGATGGGAGGCAGGGGTCTGTTCTGGCCACAGAAACGCACAGGCTTCATCCCCCCCACCAGCCCTTGGTTTATCAAGCGGCGTGCTGCTGTTTTGCTTCAGTGCTTTATCTGATCCTTGCCCTCCAAGGTTGCAGGCCCTGAGATCAATATTTAATGCAGAAACATCTGCTCATTTGGAGGCTGTAATCTCAGGGAATATTAAACACTGCCAGAGAGGGAGGTTAACAGTGGCAGGAAGAGCTCTCCATATAGAAGGGGACTCAGAGCTGCCACTCCTCACAAAAGGGGCAGCAGAGAGTCCTGGAGGGAGCTAGTGTGGGCCAGGAGGTTGATTAGCTTATTGTCCTGGAGGAAATGGGAAGGTTTTCAAAAAGTTAATTCAGAAAAATGATAGGATACAGACAGGGAGAATGAGGATGGCACAAAGGTGAGAAGAGAAGTCTCTTTACATGACTGCTTCAGGAACTGGCAGATGTTAATAGCGGAGGTCATGGACCAGTAAGGCTGGGGCAGAGCTGGTGGCACCTGAAGGTTCAAATGCCCTATAGCGCGTAACCCTCCTTGAAAGGCAGTAGGACCTAGGTGCTTCTGGAAATACCAGCCTCAGGGCTTGGTCCTGCCACCTCTGAAGCATGCAAAATCCCATGAACAAAGTTACTCCAGTGCACTCTTGCAGACTCAGACTCTTCATATGGAGATTTCTTGGAATAATCTGTTAGGCCAGAAAACTGTCCACTAAGTGATCTAGTGTAGAGATGCCAATGTGCTTATGCATGTGTATGCCCCTGTGCTTCACACATAATTAAATTATTTGAAAGCATGTACTCTCACCCTGGCATAGATTCATAGATGTTAGGGGCTGGAAGGGACCTCACGAGATCATCGGGTTCTTCCCTGACAATTTTCTTCTTCGAGTTTTTCCTATGGAAAGGGATAATTTTGCTGGAATGGGCTGCCAAGAGAGGTGGTACTATCACCTAACTTGGAGGTCTTCAAGAGGAGGCTAGACAGACACCTGGCTGGGGTCATCTGACCTCTGCCCTTTTCCTGCCTGGGGCAGGGGGTCGGACACGATGATCCTTTGGGGTCCCTTCCAACTCTACAATCTATGAATCTGTGTGTGATTGTCCATATCACACACTTCTTGGCACACACAAAGGAGAAAATCACAGGCAAATAACAACAGAATCATAGATAAATAGGATGATAAGGGACCTCAGGAGGCCATCTAGTCCTTGCTCATGGAAGGAACATCCCAGTCTAAGTCAGGCTAGCCAAGTATTTGTCTAATCTGCATTTAAACACCTCTAGTGATGGATATTCCACATACCTTCTGCAGGTAATGGGTTCTAGGTGCAGAACACCTTCCAGGTTAAAAAGTTCTTCCTAAAATACAACCTAAACCTCCCTTACTCACTGTTCTGTTTCCTTCTGTTACTGGCTGCAAGTAGGTGGATGAGGCAGAGGAACATCTACTGAGCCACGTCAAGCCTGGTGATCTTTGGGGAATCCTGCCCAGCATATCTGGAGATGTACATGTTGAATGCCTGTCCTCTTTGTACTGACCAGTCTCCCACGCCCAGCGTGGCTAGCTCGATGGCTATGCTGCTACAGTCTCCACCCAGTCCCCCTGCCATTCCTATGTGGGCCTTCCTCTGTCAAAGGAGTCAGTAACACAAGGAAGAGCAATAGAGCCTGCTACAATTTGCTATTTTAATTCTTTGCAGCTGTAGCAGGAGCACGCCATGAACAACTGATCTCTAGTACAGCTCCTTTCTGCTCAGCCTCTCCTCACTGGGCAAATGTCTTAATATTTGCACTGCAGACAGAGATGAGGTGCCAGGCGCTACGTAGCAGAACATGTCATGCGATACATTTCCTACCTTCTATAGCAGTGGGTCTCAACCTGTCTGGACTCAAGGCATTCACTGGACTAGAGGCCTCCATCATAACTTATGTGAATGCACTGGTGCTCAATTTGAAAAACTAATTTATACACTGTGGTGCTTGCCTCCTTGCAGAGGGGCTGGGGGAACAGCCAGGCAGGACAAACTGAGCCTGCACTTATGTGCTCAGCTTATCTCCCCACACCTTGGAGCACCTTTCAAAGGATCTTGAATCCCCCTGGTTGAGAATCACCACTCTATAGACACTAGAGTGCCTCTCTCCCAGAGAGGTACTCCATTATAGGAAAGCCACTTATTGCTACAAAACCACTTGACTTGAAGCCAAGCATTCCATATAACCCAAAATGGCAATTTTGGAGTTTTCCCCTCGAAAGACTGAACAAGAACTAAAAGTGTCGCTCTGTCTGGCATTTACTTGAAGCCTCCACTCCTCTCTCCACATTCCTGGTCTTTTCTGCTTCAGACATATAAACCTTCACCAAACAATAGCCCTAGAACGCCCTGCCCAGTCCAGAACAACTCCCATCTCAACTCTGCCTACTGCCTGGCCCAAAAGGAAAATAAAATGCTGGTGCTTTAAAAACAACCTAGCCAGAAAAGAAACCATTAATCAAATTACAATCAATACAACCTGGCTTATTTCTATGTTTGCAGTGTCTTTTCATCAAGGTATATCACATAACCAAATCAGAACAATGTAATATTTCCTCACTGGAGAAGATCATTTGTTGTTATAAAACTCATCACCGTCCCAAGTCCTGTGTGGTTTTGGATTAATACTACCCCAAACTGTAAGTACCAGCATCTGTATCCCACATGTTAGGGGTTCCAAAAAGCCAAAAAGCCAGAGAAGTTCATTTAGAAGAATCCTTTTTCAACTCTGAAAATAAAAAATGCTCCTCTGTTGACTACTGAAAGGGTTTCAGGTGGTCTTCAGCCTTCTTGTAATAATCTTGGTCTTCAAATTCTAATCCAATGTAGACTGTGGGGAATTTATAAATGCTAAAATATCCTGGAATCTTTGTTGGTTTCTGGGTATGCTGGGAGCACAAGTCTCCTTGGGTTCTCTGCCAGTTCAAATGGTTTAGATGGGATCTTTTCTTTCCTTCTTCTAACTACTAGCTACTCTCTAGAGAGAAAATAGAAGGTTCCAAACTACATATCAGAGACTTGCACTAGATTTGAATAAATTAGTCTATGTTTGGGCTACGTTCTGTAGCACCATTTGAACTGGGCCACTCAAATTGGCTGTAAGAAATTCACATCTCTTCATCTTCCCAGCTGTTGACCTGAGCTAAATAAGATTCCCGCAGATGGTGGGGTTTTCTACCAACTGAGCTGGAACCTCTCTTCTCTGGGGGCTACAAATAGTGAAAACCATTGTTCATGTCCTGTCTTGCCCAGATCCTCTGGGCTGACTTCTGCTGTGGTTTGAAATCCCTAGATTTCCTTCTAGAGTAAAATTTGGAGTCACTTCAGTTGTGATGAACAGCACCTCTCATTTCTGTTAGAAAGAAGAACAAGTGAAGGAATCAGACAATAAATGCAGTTGTGGTTAGTTTCAAAGTATGTGCAGAGCCCTGTTTCCCAGTATACAGCATGAATCAAACAGAAGGCAATTTCTTTACCAGCAGCTCCAAGCCCCCTCTAACTAGCTCTCAACCAAAAGCTTCTGTTTTCTTAGAGCCACAGGCCAAGAGCTTGACCAGACGCTTTCTTCATGCCTTTGCTCTCTCAGTTTCTCTGGCCATTTTTGTTTTGTTTTCAAGGCTTCATTAAGAAAAACAGCCAAGGAAATATTTCCATGCACATATGCCTTGAATGTGGGAAGTTGCTATAGTTTCAGCTGTTTCCATAAGGAGCTTAATTATTTTCTATGAAAGGTAGTGGTTATTCCTAACCCAAAACAATATTAAGTGAGCTGTCATCAGCTAGGATTGACCAGCCAACAAATTTTCATCTGGAGTTTCAAGAACATTTGTGTTTTCTCTTCAGAAAATCATGGTTAATGCAACTGTAGTGCAACGCATTAAAAGATACAAGAAGACTGCTCTGTTCCACGGGGTAAAATGCTGCTGATAAATTCAGCACAATGAGGGGAGTTATTGAACAGAAGCTGCTGAAGGAATGCAAGCATTATGAGTTTTAACCAGAGTGGTCCCAGTGGAGCAGCCTGACCTAGTCCCAAGACAGATTTATCCATGAAATTCTTTCTGAAAAGATGAGATCACAGCAACTACATGTGTCTTCTCCCAAAGTCTTGGCAGCAAATGGTGGTTTTCAAATACAGCATTAGTTTCAAAGGTCACTGCAGAGCACAGATAACTTTTCTTGCACAATGCAGTAACTATATCATAGCTTTTCTCAGGAAGCCTCAATTGTTCCAATAAATTAAGGGTTTAAAATAACAATATAAAATTCTCTCTCTGTCCCAATCCTTTTGCCCTGAGCATTTAATATATATTAGACATTTATGAGAATTATATGTTTGGTAAAGTATTCAACAGCTGCCAGGCCCAGGTTTTGTTTCTCATTTCCTTCTTATCTTTTGTCTCCTGCTCCCTGCAGCCTATTCCCCCCTACCCTTCCAGCTGCTCTCCCCCTCATAACAGCTGCTCTTCTGTCATTCTGCTGCATGCTGAGCTACATCAGGCAAATGGGGACTCAGCCAGAAAGAAACCAATATGCCAGACATTTGGCCAACAAAAGCCATTAGAATCAATTTAGTAATTAGTTGAAAATGACAGAGACTGTTACCTGCCAGGGCCACTAATAATGAGCAGCAGCTGCCATCTTGAGGCGCTTTCTGAAAGTCCCATGTACTGATCAGTCTAGATGCAGGTGCTGTCCAGCTGTCTCTTTTCACAGCAGCAACGTGAAGCACTTTCTACAGTGAACAGGGTATTTTTTAAAAACGAATGCCTACAAAACAGAGTGAGATTCAGATCTGTTCTTTGCCTGCCATTCACAGTGCAGAGGAATTAAGATTCAATGAAGCCGCTATAGGTCAGCTGCATAAATGGCAGGAATTTGGGGGTTGCTGACTTCCAAGTATCCCCAGATACATGAATTTTGGAATTGTAACAGGAATAGGAAAGGGTTCTGTCAGAGCTTTGGAACAGGAGATACCACAGCAGACATGGCACTCTGGTGAGCAGAAGATATGGAAGAAAACTTCAGCCGGAACAGTCTCTGCACAGCAGTAGCAGTTCCTAAGTAGAAACACTGCCACCTACCATGTGGGAAAAGCCTTCCCTGGCTTCTCTCACACAATACCTCGGCACTATGCCTGTTTACTTTGGTTTTGCACTGGGCAGCTGTGGACTTAACTGAATGTGTGTGCAGGCTTCAAAATTCCCAATACATATTTCACAAGGACAGTGGTTCTGTATCAATGCCTTTTGCTAGAATGTTGTGCCCTGAGATCCATATTACCCGTGTGAGTGTGGATGAAAACCAAATGCCCTGCAGGCAGCCTGAGGGATGCAGCTCCCTGCCCCGCACTTAGGCATTTGTGATGCCTTTGACTTGAATAAAAGACATACCCAAACCTGAGTGCAGTCCTTTCCCCCCATCTTTAACCTGCATGAGTTGTAACTACCATAGTCAGCATTTGTTCCATTAACATCAACAGGTAACTCAGCTTTTCAAGGCAGGAGGAGTCATTTTCTCAATGCGTCGACCTGCACTTTTAGTCACATCCTCTTCTATTACTGATAGGACTTCTCCTTGCTCCCACAAGTAACTTTGTTCTGTAAAATTGAAAGAACCCATAAGAGCAAGGCAAACAGGATGTGATATTCCCTGCTCCCTTGCCAGCTCCCAGGGCCAGTTAAGTCACAGGAGAAAGTGCTGAGGTCCATATCATTGACCCGGCTGGCGAAGGGTCAGTTGCAGTATTAATGCTGGTAATGGACCGGGAGCAGCGGACCATTACTTTTGGGAACCACCTTCTGGTAACAGCCCCTGCAGCCTGTCACCCCACTGTGCTACCACGGTGTCCCCCACCACAGCCCAGCATTGCCTCCCATCCCCAGGCCAGGCCTCAGCCCTGCCACAAATCATGCTGCCGGGCACTCCCCTGACACCGTGGGCAACAGCAGCCCCTCCCTTTGCAGCTCCCCAATGCACAGGAGGGTTTCACTCTAGATGAGTTTTCCTCTCATACTTCCCTCACGAGCCCAGAGGTGATGGCTCTGCCTAGTATCATGGCAGGGGATGCGGGGTCCTGCCCATCTCCTGGACCCTCACCAGAAGGCAGTTCCCAAAAGCAGTGGTCATCACCAGCAGAAGGGCTGCACCTGACCCACGGCCAGCCGCGGCAATGTGGGTGTTTCCCCCTGCTCCAAGCCTGGGATTGTGGTGGCAGAGCGGCTGCCCTTGACCTCTGCCCCCGCCCCCGAGTCCAGACGCAGGCACAGACCCCCCCTCCTCGGCCTCAAATCGCTCTGGTGAGGGTCTAGGAGACAGGGCCGGATCCTGCCTCCCCTCCTTGCTTCACTGGAGTGGTCGACCATGATACTAGGTAGAAACGGCACCTCTGGGCTCAGAAGGGTTTTAAAGGAAAACTCATTTAGGGCGAGGAAACTCATCTCTCACTGCCCACAGTGTCAGCATGGGCAGCATCCACCCACCCTACGCACTACTGCCGTAACACTTCATTTCTCTGTGACTAGGCCTGCATCACCTGGGGACGCTCAGGGCACAGTACAGGCAGTCCTCAGACTTACGACACAATTCATTCCTGAAAACCAGGTCCTACGTTGAAATGTAATTTGGAACTAATTTTCTCAGAAGCAACAATGTTATAATGGTTCCATCCAGGAAGAGCACGCACCAACTGCTGCAGCTTCCTGAGCCTGACGAAGGGTTTTTGAACCCGAAAGCTTGGTTAATAACTATTCTCCAACCATTTGGGTTGGTCTAATAAAAGATATCAAATTCACCCAAGGAACCTTGTCTGCCAATGTTATAATGAGGGATTGGTTCCTGAACCAAGGCCTGATACCCTATTTTCACCAAAAATACCCCAGAATTTTGTACTCAATCAATTATAGATGAGTACTGTAGCTACATTAATGTATTTATATTGCAAATAGCAATCATATTGATTTGGAAGGACTTCTTTGAGGTGACTTTGCTAGACTTTGTGAAGGGCTCGTGGCTGGAGTCTTCTCAGGAGTCCTGGCGGCAGGTTTTTCTGGAGTCTCGTCTGCTTTCTTAAAGAAAGTGTCCGAGTAAGTTTGGACAGACGTTCTCCAGGGAGATGAGCAACACCGTGAACTTGTTCGCCGGCGTGGCATCGCATCGGATCAAGCGTTGTAAGTCGAAACTGACGTCATAAAGTTGAAACAGGGTGTCAGTTTATAAATGCTGTCAGTGCGAAATGCTGTAAGTTGAGGACTGCCTGTATGTATGTTGCCACCATCCTCAATGATGCACGCAGGGTCATAACAGGCTAAAATTCACCGCGGTTCCCTGCCTACGCGCACTATCCGGCATTGCCTCACGCGAGGCCTGCTCCTCACACCAGGGATGCAGTGGTTTCACGCTCTCGCGAGACTCCCCCCGCGCGCTCTCAGGGGTCCTTAGCAACCGCGCGCTACCGTTGCTAGGGGCTGTCCGTGCGCTAACCAGGCCCGGCCGCGCCACTT